GGTAGGAATGGGGTGCCGATCAGGGCGAGATATTGCTGTGTGACTTCTTCCGGAGTAGGACCTGGGAAGAAATACAGGTCTAGATTACCCCCGATCGTACGATAGATCAGCGCTGGTCCCGGAGCGGTTGTCACTTCCTGGAAAATAAAAAATAAATAGTAGGCAATCAACTCCATTTCCCTACATATTTTTTTACGCTTGCTTTTGAACAAATTATCATAAATATCTTACCTGAGCATTGCTATTCAAAATGAGTACTCCATGTGCATTACCATCTGGTTCCATGATCATGTAGAAAGGATGAACACCTAGAAGAAGATTTTAACGTCTAATTAGCATTCGTTACCAGGGTGTGGGCCAATTTGCACGACTGTAGGACCATTTCCATACAGGACCTAGTCGCCGCGAAACACAATGCGGCGGCATTCGAGCAAGCAAGTTAGAGGCTGGAGAGTGATTTACGTGTTACCAACTCATTTTTGTTTGTGAAAAAATGACGTTCATGGTTTTTCAAGTTTGTGGCTAAGAATACTGTAGCGCGAAACGGCCAGTTCCCGGTTATTCCACTTACCATAGAGATTTTTAGTTACCAATCCATATGAACTAGGAGGTTCATCTCTTGCTAGCATACCCCATGTCGTATATGTAGAAAAATCGTGCTAGAAGAAACATTATATTTTGTTTGAATAGCCAAATAAAATTATGATAAACCTTCAGCGATAAGTGAACATTCTCTCCCCAACCGTACATTGCATCGGATGGCAGATAAGTGGCAATTTGAAGGAATTTGTCGGAGAAAATTAGTCCACCTAAAATGGTTTCTGTAAGATTCTGCTAGAAACACGTTGACTCTTTTATTTGCTATTTTTGATCAGTTTATCCGTTTGTAAAAATATCTAATCATTGTGGAATGATCAATATGTCGAACGAAAATTATGAAAAAATACCTAAACTCGTGTCAAAAAGCCGTCTACCAGTCGACTTTCGAATCACCGTGAAAGCAAATACATCGCTGACATTGTGCGTTGCAAGCTGTAATTCAATGTTTGCAAATCGTTGTTTCGCTTCTGTCTTTTGTAGCTTGGAATATTTTCGTTTTGGAGAAATTTCTTTACCTCAGAGAAAACGTAAAGCAGGTTACCTGAAGTGTGTCTGCTGAGACTGATGGGTTGCGTGGAAGTTCCACGGGAGGGTCATATCTGTAAAAAAAATCTGATCTAACAGATGGCTGTAGAAGTGGGATTCTGGCTAAAATGCTTTAAAATTAATAGAAATTATGCAACTAGCAATCTGTTAGAATTGTGCATATGTGCATAAAAATAGTTCTCACAAATGTACTAGGGGTTCCATTGTAAAGGATAGTGCAAGAAGAACTAAAATATAAGGGGGAGATATTGCGATTAGAGAATATAATTAATTGAACACGACTGGAGAATTATTTATTTACTTGATTATTCATTTTTTTTGATAATTTGTATATACCCCTTAATGTATCCCGTGTTGTGTTCCAAGTGATTTTTCTTCGTTTTGGCGCTTCTACTAGCGCACTACATAAATAAATTAATGAATAGATAAACAAATAAATAAATAATCCTAGTTTATGACGGACTCACCTCGAAGCTGCATAGATTTTGATGTTGAGCGTTTTTCCCAAACTACTACTTGTCATGTAAATTTGTTGTATATCTTCTCCCCATGGATTTTTCGGCCCGCTTTTTTGCAATATAATCACCTGGAATTACGAGTCTCACTAATTTCATTCTCGGTCACGATGATTATGTCTGGACAAAGTGCTTAAACATACCGAATCCGATGTTGCCACATACTTATAGCCGATTCCTGTCTTCATGAAGCACCAAGGTATTGA